GTCAAACTTGGTCAACTCTTCCAACTTAGAGCTTAAATCTTGATGTTCATTCTTCCAAATCGATTCCGAATAACTTGAAAACCAACACCGACGATTTACACAAGTCATAATACATCATGCGGAGATACTGGAGCCCTCAAACTACCGAGCGAAGTGCAGATGCTCAAAATGACCAGTTGGGTTGTTACATCCTCCATCACTTAAACATACGTTTGTCCTCGAACATTATAGTAGTCGTTCCAAAGCTATCAAATCATGGTGTAACCTTACTATGCACATACCCGGGGGCGATCCCACGTCACCCTGTTGCATATAAGCCTACCCCTACAACATAACCAGAGATCCTTACTTCAACCTTGGTCCTTAATCCTTAGAACCCAACCTCCAACATCCGGAGATCATTATATGGCCCGAATCTCGCATCTACACACTGCATAAGCCTGAACAAGTGGCGCCACGCCATAACCGTAACCCAAGATGTAATCACATGATATACCTCATCACTCAGATACTCACAACAGCAACTGCTGACCACCATGGTTGCCCGAAAACAAATTCGGTGTCGGTAGTAAACCTCATATGGATTAGAACCTCGTTCAAAACATTCATACACTGCCGATGATAAAAGAAACACGCATAATCTCTTAACCATTCATCTGATTAATAAGCCAAAAAGCTCACTCATCCGACCAGGGCCATTGCCCAAATCCTCAACAGAAATATAGTACCATTCTTTCAAACACTCCTTATCCTAAGATGATAGTGCAAATCTCGGGTGTAGAAACCTCATCTCAGCCAATACAAGAAGCCCCACTGATAAATCTCAACAAATAACATATGGATCCCCATACATCACAGTCCGGACACCGACCAAGTAATAATTCAGACATGACAGATATTAGTAAGAAAGTTAAATAAGAAGGCTACTAAACAAGTTAAGCAGGCAGGGTAATTTATAACATTTTCCTATGAACTATTTTCAACAAGGTGAAAGCGAAAATACACGAAGTAAGCATAAGGAGTTACATTTCATCACAATACCGTTGCAGCATGCAACCCGATCCCATTATATCAATCCACATAGGGTACCCATAATACTCGAGCTCACTGATCACATGTGCGTTAACATCAAGCACAATAGACTGCACAAAATGTAATTGTGGGAAAATTATTAGGAATGAACAATACTAAGAAGGACAAGCACAATTATGGTGCAATAAGAAAACCAACACCACGAAGGCCATCTCGCCCCTAGCGTCATAAAAGCCTAAGCTGAATTACAATATACGTGTGAAGAACCATGTAACCCTCACAACCCGTCATAGCATAAGAGAGGAACACATAACATAGACCAAGGCGCGAATAACATCTATTCCGCCCGACGATATACTCGTGGCAACAGCTGCGCAGGAGCAAGCAAATCCGATCTGATACAGAACACACATCCTAATTGGGTCTATCAATGGGCCCCCAAATCAACTTCGATCATCCTCGAGCGGACAAATAGCCTTCCAAAAGTCCACAAAGACATAACCATAACACATTCTATCATCTGTTCTTTCGCAAAAGCGACTAGTTGGTCGCAAAAGCGAACTAACCCAGCCCAGGCCTTTATCGCAAATGCGATACTGACTCCGCAAATGGGAACTCAACAGGCTTAGCAAAAGCGGCATTACTTCACAAATGTGAGTCCCTTTCCCAACAGCCCAGCTTCGCAAATGCGAGGCTGCTTCGCAATTGCGATGGTCGCATTTGCGACAAAAATATCGCAAATGCGATGACACCAGACCAGCATTAAAAAATCATAAAAAATTATTCTGAAACTCACCCGAGCCCCCCAAGGATCCAAACCAACCATGCACCTAGGTCACACAACACAAACTCGCTCGCGCGATCAAATCATCAAAATGACCTCTAAAAGCAGGAATCGGACGCCAAAACACATGAAGATCAAAATACATTTCAAGAACTTCCAGAATCGCAACCAAGCGTCCAAATCATATCAAATCAACTCCAAATGACTCAAAATTTTGCAGACAAGTCACTTTTGACATTACGGATCTACTCCAACTTCCAGAATCGGAATTCGACCCTGATATCAAAAAGTCCACTCCTGGCCAAACTTCCCAAAAATCCAACTTTCGTCATTTCAAGTCTAATTCAACTACAGACCTCCAAATCACAATACGAACGCGCTCCTAAGTCCAAAATCACCCGACGGACCTAACGGAACCAACGAAACTCCATTCCGGGGCCAATGCTAAAAAGTCAAACTTGGTCAACTCTTCCAACGTAGAGCTTAAATCTTGATGTTCATTCTTCCAAATCGATTCCAAATAACTTAAAAACCAACACCGGCGATTTACGCAAGTCATAATACATCATATGGAGATACTCGAGCCCTCAAACTATCGAGCAAAGTGCACATGCTCAAAACGACCAGTCGGATCGTTACAAATAAATGTTAGAGAGATTTAGAATGAAAAAATGATCATCAAGTCCCGTTTCAATTCAGAAACGAGATAAATTTAGTCTCAACCAATGTACAAAGAATGAATTAGAACGTATGCAAATGAAAGATATTCCTTATGCATCTATAGTTGGGAGCTTAATGTATGCCTAGACATGTACGAAACTAGACATCAGTTTTGCTGTTGGAATGTTGGGCAGATATCAAAGTAATCCAGGGACGGACCACTGAAGGTTGCAAAGAAAGTTTTGCGATACTTACAAAGAACGAAAGATTATATGCTCACTTATAGAATATCTGATCATCTTGACGTGATTGGATATTCAGATTCAGATTATGCTGGTTGTATAGACACAAGAAAATCTACATTTGGTTATTTGTTCCTATTAGCCGGAGGAGAAATATCATGGAAGAGTGTGAATCAGACTATTATAGATGCTTCCACCATGGAAGTTGAATTTACGGCATAATTTGAGGCTACAGTTCAGGCTAATTGGTTGTGGAACTTTATTTCAGGACTTGGACTAGTCGACAATATTGTCAGGCCGCTAAAAAATTTATTGTGATAATTCCGAATCAGTCTTCTTCTCTAAGAACGACAAGTATTCGAAGGGTGCTAAGCATATGGAAGTGAAATACCTTACCGTCAAAGAAGAAGTCCAGAAACATAAAGTGTCAATTGAACATATTAGCACTAGATTTATGATTGTCGATCCTTTGATGAAAGGATTATCGCCCAAAATATTTATTGAACATGTTGAAAGAATAGGCATTCTTAATAGCAATTTATCAATTCATATAAGGACTTTATTATATTTATGCAATTGACATTTTGAGCTCAATTAAGCATATGTTTTGGTATTTTATACCTGTTTTCTCTTGTATACATAATGTTGAGAATGACGACGACAGGTTCTGGCTTAGATAAATATATTTTAAACATTAATATTGGACCAATTAAGTATTGCTTTTACAGGTTGTATTGGATAATAGACTGATATTGTAGTACATGGAAGGGACTATATCAAGTAAGTGATGTACGATCGCCATGACTCATATTAGTTTACTTATATTCAATAACAATGAGTGATCTTTCCAATGAAAGGAGAATTTAGCATTTTATTGTGCACATAATGATTAAAATATTTATTAGGTGAATAACATCATGTGCGCCAAGTGGGAGAATGTAAAATATGGCCCACGTGTAGCTTATGAAATATTTTGGTTTAATAAATATATTTTATTAAATTAGTATTTGGATAAAATTAGGGGAAGTTAATTATGGCTATAACTCCCCACTAACCCACTTTGATGAAAAGTGGGAGTTAACCGATGGTCGCTCTCTCTGCCTATTAAAAGAAGAATAGCGTAACTCAATCACACTCTATTCTAAAAAGAACACAAAAAAGGTAAAGAGAGAGAAGTACTTGTTTTCTCAAGAACAGCAACTCTGAAGGCTTCCGCTCAATATTTTCAAGAAAACACATCATGGATTCAGGTAAATTTTCTTGATTGAAGTTATTGTATATGTATTTTATATGAAAATCATATAGATCTACAGTTTTAAATAATTGATAGGATTTTATATAGATTGTTTATGAACCACAATTTAGAACATTTAAAATCCTTACAATCTGGTCACAGACTTGTATCCGTTGTCAATATCCGGCCATAGGTTTCTGTTTGGTGCGAACATGGTTGAATCACTACTGATTAACACGCGTTGCTTCCTAATTCACCCATCTTCTAAGACTGGTTCTTACCGCATAGTACATATAATAAGAAGAGCCTGGTGCACTAAGCTTCCGCTATGCGCGGGGTCCTGGGAAGGGCCGGACCACAAGGGTCTATTGTACGCAGCTTTACCCTGCATTTCTGCAAGAGGCTGTTTCCACGGCTCGAACCCGTGACCCCGTCACATGGCAGCAACTTTACAAGTTACGTCAAGGCTCCCCTTCTTAATTTATACAAAATGACAGTATATATTTTATTTGTTCGACTTCCCAAAAAATATAACCCCATCCGTTTTAGATCCTCCAAAAATATATTAATTTTGAAAGATTTGGTATACATCTGACGGTATTTTTAAAGAATCTCAACAATATAGATTGACACATATTTAGCTAGAGAACACAATTGCGTTTTAGGTTGTATATATATACGCTTTCTTTTGCTTTCTCTTAATTTGTTGTACTATTATATCATTTAAGCCAAGTTATTAGGAAATCTTTTATTTTATTAATGAGATAGCAATAGCTCCTATTATCGCAATAACTATTGTTCGCCACGCATAACTTGTTTCTTTTTTTCATTTGGAGTTTGTTCTTTATGCGCATCTGCAATTAAAAAATTCAGACATATTCTTCAACAGAATATAAAGAGAAACGATGATGTTTCACTTGCTATATATATATTATAGTATCGAAATAATCAAATGTCAAGCGAAAGTTAACAAAACAAATTTTAAACGGCATTAAATCAGATGACAAAAGAGAAATATAGTAAAAAAGGAAACTAAAAGTAGCATATATCCTCTGTAATTGGAACTTGATCATTATACTAAAACCCAGCCTCTAGCTAGGCGTACTCAACTTGTTTTCTCAATATATAAAACAAAATTTATTACATTAGGCGATCAGTTAAAAAAGGAAGAAAAAAAAAGACAGTTTGAATTAAACCGATATCTATAGAGTGAGAAATTTCGAACCGATATCACTAAAATGTAAACCTTAGTAATAGTATTCATTCTCTAATATTTTTCATTTTCGTAATTCGGTTTAAACAACAGATCCTATCGTGATATATCTTCGTACAAACATGATCTTAAACAGATTCATCCCCCGTTACAGCTTGATTTGAAGATTTTATCTCAGGTAGTTCTTTGCCAACATGTTCAACTTCTTCAGTAGTGCTCAATATTTTTGAGGATTTTTGTTCCTTAGTCGTACCCCATATTACTAGGTATAATCCAATTACAATAACAACAGCTCCAACAACCCTACATTCAAGCACCACCAAATGTCAGGGATTTTTATATAGATAGTCGTTGGATGCTATGTTTGCTTTTTCAAGTCGGTATACATAGATTATACATGAATTATACATGATGATATACATATTATATATGGATTATATATATATTTTATATCCGCCGGCTATTTTTTGTTTAAGTGGTTGAGTGGCGTCTAAGAAATTTCAAAAAACGTCCTTCAATATAAGAATATTTACGCTAACAGATCATTTGTTACTATATAAAAATATTACGATAAATATTAATTGGTAACCTGATTTTTACGGGATTGTTAAATAAATAGCGTTCAGATTCACCTTTTACTTTTTTAGCCGGTGTACATAAATTATACATTGATTATATATTGTTATACATAAATTATGCATCCGCATGCTATTTTTAGTTTAAGAAATTAGATAGACGATTATTTGAGTTAATTCTTCAAATTGTAACTAACATACTATCACACGTTAAATGAGAAGGATAATATAAAAAGTGTTAGTGCATATAACTTAAATTCATAAAAAGAAATTAAAAAAAAAGGCAAATAATTATTAAAATTACCTTCCCAAGTTAAGTTGCTCAGATAAAATGAATGAACCCAAAATTGCAACAATAACCATATTGAGAGGATTAAAAGCAGTGACAAAAACTGGTCCTTTGACGTTCATTATTAATCCCGAAACGTAATAGCCAATTCCAGAATTCACTATTCCCTGCAAGTAAAATGATGACTATTATATATCTGAATAGTAATTCAGTATAATTAGTAGTAAAAAAATGAATTAATAATTTTCAGAAAAACTTACACAATAAACAGATGCAATTAATTTACTACTTCCCCAGTTAAGAGACCAGATTGCAGAATTTCCTCTTTCAACCACAAGTGTAAGTGCAGTGCCTTGCAAAGCCCCAGCCATACATATTAAAGAAGTGAGGGACAGTCCTGCTGGGTATGCCTTCAATGTAATCATCTGTTTCATTTTATATGACGATGTTTGATTAGACATCAGAGTCGTCATGTATAGAGGTTAATTAGAACAGATTTAACTTATATACATTATAGTGTTAAATAGTTTTAACACTTTTGAATATATTTTTACCTATATGTAGCATATTACTTATCTTATTTTTCATGTTACTAACCGCACTTATTATGGACAGTTACTTATAATCATCTTTTAGGTGGCTGATACTGTAAAAATTCTTTTACTACTGTCAATATCCATAAATTAAATTCTAATTAAAGAACAAACACTAATAGAGAAAAACCATGTTATTCGGACTCTTCAAAAATATTATCACATCCATATTGATTCCTCCCAAAACCACTACTTTTGACTTAAATACACTGATAAGTAAAAAAAATTTAACACTCTCAATGTATTTTTACCTATTGTATGTAGCATGTTACTTGTCTTAGTTTCCATGTTACTAATCTTACATATGACAACGGTTACCTATAATCATATCTTAGGTGTTGATACTATAAAAGCTTTTCTATTACGGTCGGTATACATAAGTTAAATCGCAATTAAAAGAACAAGCATTAATAGAGAAAAACTATGTTGTTGTACTCTTCAAAAGTGTTGCCGTATTCGTGCTGGAATTTTCAAAAAGTACACTTTTTTTGAGGATCCACATAATCCATTGATATTTTGAAGAGTTCGGGCAACATATAAAAATAAAAAAGGGGAGGTGTAGTATATACCTGAAGGTTATAAAAGCAAGCCCAGCAGAAACAACCAACTAAAATGAAAAGAGCACCCTTAACAGGATTGAGTTCAGTAGGAGAAGCAACATTAGTAGTAGAAGAATGTTTGGTCCATGGCAATCCAATTGTAGGTCCTCCAACAAGTGTCATTACCATTGCACCTCCAAGTGTTATTATTGTTCCCACTATTTTTGCTTGGCTATGTATCTTCCATATATTCACATTCTCTAGCCTAAAAATTCAATTCATCACCCATTATTCCATACGAATTACCTTATATTGACAATGTAATGAAAATTTTACATTATATAATCAGTATGATACAACATATTACAACAACAACATATTCAGTGTGATTTCACAAGTGGAGTATGAGAAAGATGGGGTGTACACAGACCTTATCCCGATAATTCAACATATTATATAAGGATATTGGTATTAAGCTTTATGTTACTACTTACTTAATTTGAAAAAATGACATTGTATAGCCGTTCTCAATATAATAGCTGAAGAAATGTAAATTTTTCTATATTTTTTGTATATTTATACATTTTGTATATTATATACAAAAATTATACAAATTGTATACCCTTTTTCGGCTACCAAATGTAAATAATTTCTGGCATAGGCTGAAAGTGAAGAAAAAAAAAAGCCCTACTAATTATTTCGATTATTATAAATATGTAATTTATTATTGTATTTTAAATCACCCGATAATTATTAAAAAAAACTTTTATATTTGTCTTTTATAGAAATTAAACTTTATCCCATATCATTGGAAATGACCTGATCCACTAAACTACATCTTTACTTTTCTAAGTTTTCTTTTATTTTTAATTTGATAAAAGACAATATTGGATCCCATCGCACTTATGCATTAATCATTGTATCTTAGGATTTGTGTTTGTCTTGACCTAAGTCCATTTTCATGAGTGCTTAAATAATTTTATTAATGAACAATTTCCACCAATCTAATAGAAGTAATATTTAACTTAAGGAAAAAAGTTGGCTTATAAATTAAGTCCACGTAATTAACTAAGTTGAAAAAAGTTATTTTATATACCTTAGGATCCAGGCTAATAAAAATGTGATGGCTGGTAAAACATTACACATTGCTGTTGCAAAAGTGGCAGTGGTGAATTTCATCCCACCATAATACAAATTCTGGTCGATAACAGGCCTGCAAATAATAATTTCATTTGAAATCCATTAGATTCAATATAATAAATTAAATCAAGAAAAAAAATTATGTGTTGGTAGTATTAGGAATATTTACTCCAACAAGCCGAGCAACACGATCTTCCAGAAAATGGAAAAAGTCATTTTTGGTCTTATTTTCCTGTATGTTAAAACAACCAGAGATGACATTAGTAATTTCTAAAAATATAATCCATCAAAATAAAATAATATTTCAATGCTTTAGGTATAGTAGCGGATCCAACCATGGTTCACAGGTTCGGCAGAACCCATTATTTCGAGGTCAAACCCTATATATTTTAAAAAGCAAAAACTCCTATATATTGATAGATTAGATATAAATTTTAAAATTTAATCTCTTAACTCAGAATTCATAACGTCTATATTCTGGATTCTGTCACTGCTCTAGGATTTTGCCTTGCATGCATTCATGTGTGTTTGTGGATAGTAACGGAGCCACATAAGTAGGCTCAAGGGTGGTTAGTTGAACACTCTTTGTCCGAAAAATTATATTGTATAGAAAGGTCAAATATCGCTATGACTTCTAATATGTGTACAGCACGTTAAATCTTAAAGAGGAGCATTGGAGCAACGGTAGAGTTGTTTCCGTGAAGCCTATAGGTCACGGGTTCGAGCCGTGGAATCAGTCACTGATGCTTACATCAGAGTAGGTTGCCTACATCACACCTTCTTTAGGTGCGGTCCTTCCCCAAACCCTGCGTAAAAACATGATGCTTTGTGCTGCATCGGATTGCCCTTTAACAGTACATTAAATCTTGAACACCCTTAACAAAATTTTTGATTTCGACATTGTTTGTTGGTGTGTGAGGAAAAAGGTAGGAAGGGGAATAGGAGGTGGGGGGGGGGGGGGGGTTAAAGATCACCTTTCAAAGAGAGCAGCCAAAGGAGCAAAGATAACAGCAGCAACAGCATTTCTGTAGACAGCAAAAGTGTAATGACTCATTCCATGATTAAGAGCAGATTTAGCTATAATAGCTGAGCCTGCATATCCAAATTGCAAGAATATGACTGCTAAATATGGCTTTGCTTCTTTCAAAAACTTAATTAAGCATTCCTTTGTAGTTGTTGACATGCTTAATTATGTTTCTCTCTCTTTTCTCTAATAACAAATGATATTTTTTTTAATTGTTTTGTATTAACAAACTCTGACTTGAGTGGTATATATAGGGAACAAATTAAAGTGATTTAAGCACGTAATCCTTATATCAATTAACCTATGGATTCCACTATCTTATAATGGGAGTGTTCAGTTAAACGCTTTCTTCTAGCTAAACAACTTTAATTTCTATATTAAAAGGTGTTAGGAATAAGTTCACTAATAATTAATCTTTTTTTCTAATAGTTTCAACTTGTTAAAAGACAATCATTTACATTCAATGGACTTATTGTAAATTAAGTACTCCATGCATTTCATTTTATGTGAAGGTATTTGATTGGACGATGAGTTTAAAAAATTAAAGGAGGTTTTGACATATATAAGTTAAATACAAAACGCTAAAATTATCTTTTTTTAAATAAAAGGCGGTGAGAGTTTCACATGTCTTTTCATTTTCTTTGTCCTTATAAAAGACTTTTATATCGAGGAGATCCCAATAAATCATGTTTATAAACGTAGAATGAGGATGGTAAGATTAAATAATTTCCGAAAAGAGAAATGCTTTATTCTTTTTTTTTTTTTTTGATTAGATTAAAAAGAAAAGTAAATTACATAAATCGGGACGAAAAGAGTACCCATTGTTTTCATGTTTAGATTCTTGATTTTTTACGTGACATTACTAACAAAATTAGAATTTGCTAGTTGCTACTATCTTCGTCGTTAAATTCCTCGTCATTAATAGAACTTTTTGATAATTCATTGCTAAGTAGGATTAGCGACAGATCTTTTTATTTAGTTATAGAATTTATTTTTTTTGTTTAGTTATAAAATTTATCCGTTGTTGATTCCTATTTTTTAATAGTGTGATCAGTTTGTTAATTTCACTTGTAAATATATATAAGTGTGGGTAAAGTCTTTTCTTTTTCTTTTACAAAGAAAACAACGTAAAGAAAATCAAAACCAAAAAAACAGGTGGCGGAATCAACATAAAATATGATAAAAACATATGTGCTGAGATGAGAAGGAGATAGAAGTTTCAATTATTATTGCACTAAGAAAACATGTACATCTGAGTGGACATTCAGATCAGATTAAAATCTTTAAAATAATATAAACAACAAACCAGAAATATTGCTTTATGGTATAAATATTTATATCATAAATATAAAAAGATTATAAAAATCAAAACCAGTATATTGATTGGAAGTTCAAAAGGATTAGGCGAAATAATCAATATGATGTTTGTACTTGAATGATTATTAAGCTATGAAGTGTACACCACTATTGTTTTGGAGTTTGTTTGTTTGGATAAATTGGGAAATTGAATTTGAACGTTAACTTTCCGTTGTCTATTAAAATTTCTTAATAGCTGAAAATTGGTGTTAGGCATTTTCAAATATTTGTTGAAGATACCTTTTGGTACTTTCTGAAGGGAATTTAAAGTTTAACCAAAAAAGGAACTAATGTGCACATGCACTAATGAAAAAAAAAATAACCGGAAGTTTCGGATTCGAGTACTGAGAGTAAAAAGAAATCGGCAAGGCCTTTCCCCTGGGTGAATTTAGGACAGCCCGGTGCACGAAGTATCCCGCATTTACGCAGGATCCAGGGAAGGGTCGTACCTCAAGGGTGTGTGATGTAGTAGCCTACCCTGATGCAAGCATCAATGGCTGATTCCACAGCTCGAATCCGTGACATATAGGTCACACGGACAACTTTAGTGTTGCTCCAATGCTCCGCTGAATAAATTCAGATTAATTAAAACCCCAACGTGAGTATCCGGCACCAGATGAACCCCCCCTCCCCCCCACACACACCCCACCCAAAAAAAAAGGAAAAAAAAAAAACATGAATGAATGCTAGATCATTTGTGCTTCTACATGCATGTTTTCAGATGCATGTTACGTTTAAGGTAATTAGGTAAATTAAATTTGTAAGGAACTCTACCAACTATAATCTGGCACATATATGTACATCTCTCCCATAAATGAAAAGACAAGATAACGACTTATATCATGTTAATTAAATTGATATACAATAATAGGCAATCTTTTATTATAAATCTGTTAGTAACAAATTAACAATTGGAAAATAGAGTAATAACTAATAACCAACTAAAATTATTGCTCTAGAGTGGCATGCAATTTTATTGGCAGAAAATTTAATTGGTTCAATTAATATGAGCACTATTAATGGGTTTCGGCTATACTAAAATTTTTGACAAGCCTTATTAATTCCTTCTTTTCCGAACTATATTTCTATAATCAGAAATATTAAAACAATCTTTAGACATTAAAATTACCAAAATTATCATGCTATCTTATTGCTAAATAATTAGTTTTTTCTTGATATATTCTTTCTTGAGTGTTCAGTTTCTGTCAAGAATAGTAACTTCTGTAAAGAAAGAGTAATAAGTTAAGTACTACTACTATTAATATTTTATGTGATCTAAGGAAAATATTACTTTTACATAAGATTTAATATTAAAATCCGCAATCGACGCTTAAAATTAAATTTATATTTCGATTTCATTGAGTTATATATGTTGCAGATCAATAGTGGGGTAATTAGTGGAATAATGTATTTTTGAATTTGTAACGTATTAATCAGAAAAGACAATGATATTCAATAGTGCTTTTTTATTAAAATGACAAGTACAACTTTTGATGTTTCCGTTATCATGTACCTTTTATTAGCAAGACATATTCATCAATAATTAAAACAATTTAGATGGTAAATACTGGCACGTGATGATACATGTGCAGCTAAGACTTAAGTTTATTTTTCTTAATTTATATAATGTAATCTCAATTTTGTTCCCAAGTTTTGTAAATAGAGAGGAATTAGACTAACTTCATTATAAAGTTTCTTGTATTATTTCCTTGTGTTAGGGAGAACTTAATTCAAAAGGTATTGTATCAAATCTCTAATTAAGGATGAAGAAATTCTAATTATTCTACCGCAACTTCCGATCGTGGAATTGAACCCTTATTAGTACCAAGATCGAATGTAGTATATATGTTATAGATTCACCTGAATAGAGTAACTTTGGTTCAATTCATGTATATTAGTTGAAAAATGTACTAAGTACGTACAAGTAATAGATTTTAAACCCACTTTATTTATAAATAGGTTGTGGTAAATTTTCAAATTCGAAACCATAAAGTCTAAATCTAGGATCTACACTTAATACTGCAACTTTCATCAATAACAAATCCGGTGCAATTCCACAAGTGGGATCTGGGGAGGGTAGTGTGTACGCACGGGCTTATCTAGGTCTTAGGATATGCGTTCACGTGAACCCATACATGAACCCATACTCCTATCCCTAAACCATGTAAAACAATATTATATTTCTTCAAAATTACTTAAATATATATGCGTGCACCCATGTTCAAAGATTCCTATGGTGCAATAATTATTGGGTGCACCTCTATGCGTGAAATTGGCAGTTCAAATCCCATGTCGGACATTCTTGTTTTCGGCACGGAGTATAAATTTATACGTGAGAATCACTAAAATTTTAAAAAGAATTTTTGAACTTATAATTTCAAAAATGCAGTGGGTTCATGGTAAGAGACTAAAGTTAAACACGTCAAATGTGAATTCTAAATCTACCTCTTCACCACAGTGCACCCATTCTCCTGAAATCCTGGACCCGTCTCGGTGTGTACGCAGACCTTACTCTTACCTCGATAAGATAGAGAGGTTGTTTTTGATAGACCACCGGTTCAAGGATAGCGTTATTGTAAATTAAGTAAAAGATGACAACGGAAACCACGATTACAATGAATTAGGAGGGACAGTAATGAGTTGTCTTAGTTCGTTAGGAACCATAATTTGGAGTAAATTAGGTCAGTACTTTTAACATAGGATTTCTGATTTTTTTCATTATCTTGTAATTGATAAGATAAAACAGGAAAATGCAGGGACACGTTAATGTGACAAATTAAAGTACTTTATATTAGCTGTGGGCAAACACAAATCATTCCTAGTCAGATTTGGGCACTGGATGCATGCCTACTATTTGACATTTGCTGCTATTCCTTTGAAACCAGATGACTATTTCCCACTGTAGAAAGGGAAAAAGAGTAAAAGTAAAAGCACGACTAGATAGAGGATAATTCAATTGGTGGACATACCCTTTAATGGGGTGGAGCCGAGGATCTGTCGGGAACAGCCTTTCTACACCTTCGAGGTAGAGGTAAGGTCTGCACACACACTACCCTCCTCAGACCCCACTTGTAAAATTTTACTGGGTCGTTGTTGTTGTTGTACCCTTTAATGGAGTGTCATCCATACTGCTTCACCGAGAATTATTCTTATATTTGTACAACAATAACAACAACAAATTTAGTGTAATCTCATAAAGTGGGGTCTAGGGATGATAGAGCAGGGGCGGATGCACATGGGTGGAAGCAGTGTCATCCGACACCACTTCGCTAAAAAGATATTGAATGTGTATACTAATATTCTGCAAAAATAAAGCAATAAATAATAATGACACCGCTTCCTAAAAAAGATTACTTCTTGGTCTACTAGGCAAACTCATATTTGGGCTTGTAAAGGTCGTAGGTTCGAGGTGAAAATAGTACGGGCTAGCCAGTCTTCGGACTGATAATTAAAAAATAGTTAGTGTTTGCAAAGTCCTTGAAAAATAGCCACTATTTTGCTGCAACACGAAAAGTTCCAGCATAATAACTGGAGATTAGTGCACCTTCCATCATATTATGCTGGAACTCCAGCATACGGAAAGTTCCAGCATAATATACTGGAGATTGGAGCACCTGTGTGTAAATTCCAGCATATTATGGTGGAACTCTAGCACACGGAAAGTTCCAGCATAATATACTGGAGATTGGAGCACTTGTGTATGAACTTCCAGCATGTTATGCTGAAACTCCAGTATATTATGTTGGAACTCCAGTATATGATGCTTGAACTCCAGTATATTATGTTGGAAGTTCACATGTAAAAAATTCGAACCCCAGTATATTATGCTGGAATATTTTTCAAATTGAATAGTGTTTTCGTTCAGATT